ATTGTGAGTAGCAATTAGTACATATATATATAATTATAATTCAATTCTGCAAGGCATTCCAATTAATACTTGTTTCGTTCATATATGTATAAATATAATCATATTGAATGACATTATTAAGGAAGTTAGATGTAATGAGAGCATGATCTTGTTTTAAAAAGTTTGTATTTATTAAGAGAGTCATAATTATCACATATGTAAAAACTAAGTTCTTAGTAATTGTATCTAATCCTATTGATGACATTGTGATATCCCAGATACACGAATTTTTTCTGTCAACAAAAATGCATCATTTACAGTTTATACCTAAGGATGCATTTTACAAGGCAATTTTAGAGGATTACATGTAATCTGTTATATGCATATTTTCAAGTATTAACATCCTCTGCTTAAATATTGCTTAGCATCTTATATAATCTATAAAACATGCAGTCTAATATAACATACAGTTTATGGAACGTGAACTTGTTTGACCCGGCGTTTATGTGTAGAAACTAAACTTGGCCTGGGTTAGATTTGAACACCACTAGATTACAATTTTGTTTGCAGATGTTCATACATCACAGATACTCGAATTGACTTATTTTTGTTAAGGCTCGGTATATGTTTATACATTTCGAGCTCGGATTGCATGAGTAATACTTATGGCCATCATTACATATAGTACTTACATGTAATAGATTGCTAGTCACTAACTACTTACAATAAAAAATCAAATATCAAAATTTGCTAGTTCTACACGTTGTAACATAGTCAATTTAAACTATATTCTTTCATCAGCTATTATTGCATACTATGTCTAATTATTTAACTTACATTCCAGGATCAAAGAAGCGTGTATTTTATTAAATATTCTATTGGGCTCAGCGATGTTACTGCTAGAGGCTCTAAACAGCAATAACGAAATTATAGAAAAAGAGATATTAGCGGATATTGGTGTTCACAAAATGTCTTCTGATCTTGCTTTAAAAGTGCTCGGAACAAGAACTGATATTGCTTATATATAAGGTGAGTTTCTTTTAATATCGTGAGCATATTATATATAACATGGATATATAAAAAGTAATTGACGAATGCGATTTGATTTGTAAATAAAAATTAACAATTTTTACTTGGCTTTACTTACTGAATGGGTTTACTAAATAATTTGTTTAAATAATATGCGAAGTTCAACAAATTAATGTAATACCGCCATTATCTGCACCTAATAATAATAATCGATTAAGGGGAAGAATCGCCATTGTAGTAAGAAGCCCTTTAAAGGTATCTGATTTTAATTTTGATGACGAAAATGCAGCTGTTGTTTCGATAGATGTAAAAACACCTACACGATTCGCAGTTGTTCCTATAACAAGTTCTTGCTCATAAGTGGACATACAATGAACTGGTTCGGTTGTTCCTCTGCAAAATATACAATTTTTTAAACGAATGAGGAAAAATGGTTTTCATGTTTATGAAAATATATTTAAGATAATATTCCTGTTTATGATGATATGCATATGTGCATTATATGTTTACGTATTCTATTGCAGGCCTGGATTATGATCACTGTTTTCTTCAACTATTTCATTATTATCATTATTATATGGATATAAAGTACTACATACCGTCCTTGTATAAATTACAAATACTTACTTCATATGAAATTTCAGTTTTCCGTCCAGTGCACTCCATACCGCAATCGTCTCATCTAGCGAAGAACTAACTATAGTGGTTTCATTTATTGTCTCTAGCTGTAGTATCTAGAGAAATATGAATTATATAAGCATTTGAAAAATTAACGTTTACTCTAGCAAATAACCCTCCCAAGTCGCTCCTACATGATTTTGATGAAATTGTTCTGTACATGTAAATTCAATAACGTGTAACAGTTAACGATACCAGAAGATTAAGACGTTTAAGTTGAAGAGGCGCAATCACTGAAAGCTCCGTTTGAGCTTTCGGTGAACTAGGAAGTTTCATCAAAATTGGCGAGGACGGTAGGCGATTTAGTGGTGTTCCGCGTAACTAACTTACTTCGCATTCATGACCCTTCCAAGATGCAATAATAAGACCAGTTCGAGTATCTAAAACTGTTAAAAATCCTGATGCTTGACCCAAGGCTACCCAGTAACCGCTAGGTGCTACTGCTATGCATCTAATTAAACCGGTTGGATTCACGGATACCTGAAAAAAAAATCAGTCCCATCTTAGCAAGTGTATACTTGTATGCAGTACAAGTATATCCACATATATACCTATAACATGGTCATTTTCAGTGATTCCAATTGTCAGTAATACGTACTTTCATTTCGTTGACATATTGAAAAGTTCTGCAATCTATGACTCTGAGTGTAATATCAGTAGTTCCTACGAGCAACGTCGTAAACGGGGAGGGACTAGCTATTAGAGTATTTACAGGAACTGGTCGAGAGTTTTCTGGACATCCAAGAAGAGATCCCATAAAAGGATCCCAACAATGTATTGTGCCATCGCAAGTGACCGCGTATCTTAACGATTCTAAGAAAGTAAGAGCAAGAATTGATTTTTTGTGCCCTGTATAAGTGTATTGGCAGGATGAAACTGTGTTTCCATCACCCTAGAAATATAATATATTCTTAGAAAAACCATTATCATTTTATCACAATAATCATCTCTCCGATCGTAAGTTAATCATTTACTTACAATATATTATATGTAAATGTAAAGTGTGTAAATACGTTACCTGACTTCTTAAACTCCACAGTTTTACAGTTTTATCCCTTCCACCACTTATAAAACTGTTCTCATTGTCTAATACAGATAAACATCTAATACTATTAGTATGCCCACTGAATGTTTGAAGCTTTATTTGCTTGATATTAAATGTTACATCTTTATCGGATCTTCCGATTTCATGTTCCCAGTATGCTAACCAATTTCCTCGTAATTGCCTGCCAGTATACGAGGAAATAGCATCTCGATTACCCGTATTTTCGGTTGTTGTCAAATCCCCAACGTTGTTCTTCTCTATCGCGAATCTATTTCCCACTACCGATATATTTCCAAAATTTGAAATTTCTTTATGCACTCCTCCTGCAGTTTCTGTCACGTTGTAATCAGTATTACACGAGGTGCTCAATTTGGTATCGTCTATGAAAAGAAAGATCTTTTTGAAAGAAAGAAAAGCTTGAAAAAAAGACTTTTTGTGGTGAATTTTTCTTCATCAATTTAGTAAATAAATAAGTCTAACATACCAATATTTGATGTACTTATTTTGATGTCTTGTTCATATTTTTGACATAAGTGATGTATATGTCCATAGTTCTTAAGTATTTGTTCCATTACTTCACTATCGATACACTTATAAAAGAGCATATATGCTTTATGAGCAAATTCTATTGTAAATACTGCTTTTAGTTCTTCAAGTGCCTAAAATTTATTACAAGTTTATTATAAGTTACTATTAATACCATCAAATAATTAATAAATTAACTTCTATATAAATTTGTATATACTTTATTTTTCTGATAATCTGATATGTCCATGGTTTCAATAACCGGCGGAGAATAAGAATCAGCAACATCTGAGTTGAAGTTTGATTGAAATCCGCGCGTATCTTTATTTTCATCATTTACGCATTTTGCCCTGATAAATATAGCATTATTTATGTTTATACTTATTATAAAATATTATTAAACATAATTAAATACAGATGTTATGGAATTACCTGGAAAACTGTTCGTTTACCGTTTTTTGATTAATCTCACTTTTCGAATTTCCTATAACATTTGGATTAAATGATTTTTCAAACGCCAAGAAAAATCGCTGAATTGGAACAGCCAGATGATTCTTTATAACAACACTTCCCAATCGTAAGCTAAACATAAATATAATCTCAAGACATTTTTCTGCTAGTACAGAGCGTGCCACCACACCATTAGGGAAAGTAAATTTTGTAGATGATAATACACGAACTGTAGGATACAGTATTGCTTTAACTATTGGTTCCTATAAATAAAAAATTTCGCATTAAACGTAAATATTTTCATGGTAGTAGTAGTAGTAGTTATAAAAGTAATCTTACATGAAGGCAATCCATTAAGGTTGCATCATTAAGATATGATGTAATATGATTTAGAAGAGTTAAGCATGAAATAAGACCTCCTTCCAAATTTTGCGTTAGTTTCCTTTTACAAAGGGCTATTAATTCAACCATATGTGCAAAATATTGTAGTACTATAATTTGTTCCCCGTACAGTCCTAGAAATATGGTGAATTGTATTGTCATTATTGTTTCCAAGATATTTTCTAAATACAAAACATTGTTGTATGTATAGAAAGCTTCACCTGCAATGGCTGTAAGGCACTCCAAAACTTTCACAGCATTTCGATCGCCAACTAAAACCTTTTTGTTCCAAGTAATACCTTGCAGAGATAATGCACTATCATCGATTACCGTTAAATTTTCTTCTCCTGTGTAACATAATGCAAGCATTCTCAATAAATTACGTGATAAATATCTAGCAGTTAGAACAGGACCAAGTCGATGAGACAACCAAATGATAGATCCTGCACTCATTTCTGAAGTTGTGCATTCATTCGATGTAGATTTCTGATAAATGTTATCTATCTGAATATCTTTATGTGTTGAAGCATCAGACTTGATATCATCTATTTGTAATATGACAGGATTTTGTTCCTCTACATTGTAAATTTCATCTAAATTATTAACAGACTCGGCAAATCCACCATAAGAGTCATTGTATACATATTCTTCATTAGAAGTTTTACTTCCTACATTACATCCAATATTATTAAATTCTATCGCTAATTTATTCCGAGAGTTGAGTGGTTTTGGTATAGGAATTGTTGGTGATTTAATTGATCTGAGAGGTGAAATTTTACTTCCGTCTTCATTTGAATCATCATTGAGATTCAAGTTTAGATCTATATGTAAATCAATATCATATGTTGTACTAGAGTTTATGGGAACCCAAGAACTGTCTTCTGCATCCATGGTAAATACTTCTGAAACATAAAATTGCTATATGTAAAACTGTATGCAATAGATACAGTGGAGACCTTATAGATGGAAGCCCTACACATAGATAATACAGAAAAACATATTTGATTTGAATCACCTTGAACATCATTGTCAACTATATTCACATTGTGAATATAATCAGTTGTTACTGGTCCAGGTGATAAAGAAATATGCTCTGAACCTGCAGAAGAATCTTCGTCTAAAGGTGATAAGATTCCTTCTCCGTCATTACAAATTTCATTTAAATCACAGCTTCTGTAAAAAAAATCGCAGAATAGTAATTTTAGTTAGGAGATTTTGTTATCTTACAAAATATCTATATTTTAATATAATATCTAATTTCTTTACTTAAGATTGCCAGTCTTGTGAGTATACGTTGAAGAGCCCTGCATATAATCTCTGTACCCTCCAACTGCTTCTACAAGAGGCGTAATAAAATTTTCCAAATAGCGTCGTAGACCCATTCTTACTATAAGTTTTAACAAAAAATTTCTATGATATAAACGTGTAGTTCTAAATTTTGCAACTAGTCCGGAGGGTAGTACGTCAGCATATAACGAATTATCCATGAAAGATCCATTTTCATATAATTTCATGATAGATGTAAGGAATGTCTCTGCAGTATCTTTGGGACCTAATGCTCTGGAAGGTTACGTTCATGAAAGAAAATAAATAGAAACTATTGAAAACTTAATACAATAATTATGTATGATAACACGTACATACCTTGCAATAGGGTCAAACAAATACCAAGCGGCTAAAACAGCACTGTATGATTCTTCCATTACTTGCTGTATGTGAGGCATTATCAGTTCTAAAGCTTCCCTAGCAATTCCAATATGAGACAATAAGTGTTCTAATTCCCGTGCAATTGCTTTAACTTTACATTCACTGATTTTGCAAAGAAATCTCGTCCTTGTTTTAAGGGTATAATCTATATCATCCTCGGATTTCATTACAAAATTTAACTCACGTACCAAACTGTTATATTCTTGTAACATTTCTACAATATTGAATAAATATTTATAGTATTTGGAAAACGGTAATAAACTTCCGAAAAGTAGTGGTTGCAAAAATTGGTGAGCTGATGGTGGCGGTAAACCCATATTAGTAATAGTTGGATAACGAAAAGGTGTATCCATTACCTAAAAATTTCCATTTAATAAATTCTACTTATTTTCGTGGTTCTAGTAAGACATTATTTTTTTTCGCACAGTATAGAAATAATTGTGATAAATTGTCTTTCATCGACGAAAATATGTATGTAGTAGTTACAACACAATGCATATTTAAGAATATGTAACATTCTTAAAATATATATTTTTATTTACCAATTATTAATAATGTTCGATGAATAAGCATTCAGTTTTAAATAAATTATTTCTAAACGTTATGAGTATAAATCTTTGAATAAAGATGATATGTGCCATTATTGTTGTTATTAAATGATAATGTAGTAATTTAAACTAGTACTTACATCTATGCTATCAGCATTGTAACTTTTTGGTATAATATCAACTTGCAGTAATAAAGCCACTGCATTTCGTACACACTTAGGTAAACTATCAGCTGACGTTTTTAAAATATTGAGACACACATTAAGTCTTTTTGAAAATGACACTTTCTCCACATTCCATGTTGCTCGGAATTTGTTGGACAAAAATATTTCCACAATTAAACAACCAAGTATTTGTTGTTCTTTAATACGTCCGCTAGCCACTATTTGTTTATAATTAATGCATGATTCATGCAGTTCAATTTCTGGTTTATAAACTTGAGAGCTCACTTTATTCATAAATGTGTGCATAGTTTCCACTTGAGTAATAGCTGCAACTGGATTGTAGTCTTTGGGGAGAACTATTGCTTGATTCATGGATTTATCTTGTTTGATAGTATCTTCAGCAGAGAGTAAAGAACCGCGAGAACGACTTAATAATCGACTTAAAACCAAAGGTGATGATTTAGATGTATTTAATATCGAAATTGGTAATTCTTCCTCTTCAAATCCAGAACTATGACCTTCATCATCGCTACCTCTATTCCCACACTGATCATTTTCTAATAAATATTGTATAATTAGTAAACAATGAAAATGAAAATATTTAAATTATTAAGAATTTTATAAACGTACTGTGTTTGTTAATCACAAAAGATGAACGTAATCGAGGTGGAATTTTACACCAATAAGGCGATGGGATGATTTTTTGCGGATGTGGTTGTGTAAAAAGTTGAACAACTCCAGAATTCGTCAAACCAGTATGATTGTCAACAAGTTGTAAGCAAACGTTTTTCGATTTGACTGCAGCCGAACCGGATAATCTGCCAATTAGAAAACCGAATAATAGTAATTTCATCTATATCAAATAATATACTTATAAGAAACAATCTATACATACTTGTAACCAAAAGTTAAATCTATCCAATGATGTAATCTTTCAGATACGTAAAAACTTTCTAAAGCTTCTCTATGTTTTTCTACAAAATCTTCTGGTGACGTTGCCCATGCAGGGATTTCTAAATCTGGTAAATCTTCATGAATGGACTGCAAGTAAAAGATATGAAAAAGAGACGTATATTTCGTACAGATTAATTTAATTTAATTTAATTTTATACCTTACCTTAAAAACACTAGGATCAGAAAAAAATTGTGGTATACATTCATCCGGACTCCAATCATGTAATCTTTGTATAGATGCAGGGTATTCTCCTGGAACCCATTGTGGTCGTACATTTTTACACAAAACAGATTTGTTATAACGACGTGAAAGATAGACGTAATATGTTATTTCTGATAATACGTCTGAAACATGATGACCAACCTGAAGGTATTGACATAATATTATTAACAATTAAATTATACATTAAAAATTAAGTTGAAAAATACGTAATGAAAATACATACTTCCACAGATTGTGAATCAAATGTTAAATCCAACTGTCTGTCACCTTTATTTAATCGAAATTTTGATTTGGTTAAATCTCTCCAATTACCACCGCATCTTGATGTGAAATCTGTGACCCAAGGCATAACATGATGGCAACTTGGATCACCGTATCTTCTACCAGCTATATTATTTAATGCAGTCAAATAATCATAATTACTAATGGAATTATAGACCCACATTTCGCACAACTTTTCAATGCTTTCGTTTGTTCCAAATTTTGGATTTCCTTGTAACATGGTACTTGATAATATTATATCAGCATTTCTTTTGTACCCGCTAAAATTTTTCCATTTCATTTCATGATTGGTAGAAACTTTATGAATTTGATTTTCAGGTTTTATATATATATTGTCGCTTAATTTTGGTAACACCTGTGAATAAAGTCTAAGGAAGCTGTTACAATTTCAAAGAAGACCAACAAGTGAACAATGTTCAATAATAAATATTTCAATACTAACCTGAATAGTGAAATTATCCATAAGTAATATATCACTAAGGGTAACTTCACCTAACACTAGGCCACGATCATGTAAGTCTCTATACAATTGTAAAAGTTGATATATTAGGAACAATGATTTTCCATGACTTGTACTTAAAGCAGCAGGACTATACATCACGCACCTAATTAACATTAAAAACTTTTAACATAATTGCATTATTGATAATTAATTGAAGCATGTGGTCTCACTTACTCACGAAGAGAATATTCTGCAGTTTGCTCGTGTAATATTATAAAAGCAGTAGCAGTTTCAATAGCAAATAATGTTGGAAGAAGATTACAATGTGCTTCGGTTGTCACACCAGGTAATACAGATAAAACTAATCCATTTTGAATTTGTACTAAACTACAGCCATACATTCTTTGTAATACTTCTTGCATGATGGACGTATCGCTCACATTAGCAGTTATATTACACTGATCCTTGTGTTCCACACAGTTCCATGGATCTAAGTACATACTTTATTATCACATAATTCAATATATTATTAATGAGTAATTAATATAATTATTTAAAAATATACATACTGTAATATTTCTTATAACATTCTTTCCATAAGTTTCTATAATTTGTTTCCACTACATAATGCAACAATTGTGAAAATGTTAAATCTGACTGAGTATTTCTACTTGTTGAGTGCCTTCCTCTTAGAAGTGGAATTGCATATTTATGCTCTTTTTCATAAACCTAATAATCATATATATATATATTTATTATTTTGCAGTATTAAAAAATGTTGTCATTCAAAATAAAAGGAAAATATAAAATATGTAGCAACATATTATTACTAGATTTTAGGCCTTTATGAAGAATAAAAATCTGCTACATCAATTGCAAAAAATAGAAATTAAATAAAAATGAGTTGTTAGTTTGAACAATATTAATAAAAAAGCAGTAATCTAAAAATATTCCTAAATATTTCTAATGTATTCATAGTTTCG